AAAGATATCTTCTGTTTTGAGCTAACGACTTAAGTGCTCGTCAGATTTCATAAACCCTGGAAATTTCACCTGACCTGAGACCGTGGTTTTCAGTGAGAGTGGACTGACACCACTATTTCAATCAGTTCATGGTTTACAAATTCATGTTCGGAAAAACTTTCTTCAGGACACTGTCGTGCCACGGTTCGTTTTCAAGAAACATTACTTTTTGTTTCCACAGTCAAACAACACTCAAATCCTGTGGGAGCAAATTAAACAAGATTAGTGAAAGCAAAGTTTGACTGGGGCTAGTGCAATCCATCCCAATTGTCTGCATGCAGGTCATTAATAGCAATGAGTAGCTAATTTTGAGTGCAAAAGCCTGGAACAAATAAATCAAACATGTCTGTGCCGGGGATCGTGTCTGAGAGCCTTAATTGTCTGTCGCTGCTTCAAATTCCGTGCAAGTTAGAAAGAAGATCATTTGAGCTCCAGCTTTGTGACAGGTGCTGCAGGGTAAAGTGGGGGTGGCCTTGAAATCCGCAAAATGCGGTAAGGCCACACAGTGATCTTGCCGCGAGAGATTCAAGCTTCGATTTTATAGTGGGAGGTGCATAGAAGCAGTTGTCTTGGGGAGGCAGGTGGAGCCTGAAGAGAATACGACACTTGTGCACACTGTTCCTCTCTACTAGCCAATTGCCTGAACACGGCCTGACAGGAGGAACATCGTGAACCGGCACCTGAGAACAATTAGACACTGTTGAGCCAAGTCTGGATTTGCATGTGCAACAGCACCTGGTGCACTCTTTGCATCTGTGATGCAAAGAGTTATGAAAGTAGAAAAGCACATTCATTTGTGGGATAAAATGCAACGATCACAGTCACTGTTTTGCATGTTTATCAGAGGCCTTTCTGTCTCCTCCTAAGCAAGGACAAAAAAAAAATACAAAAAAAAAAAAAACGCCCCATATCTATATATATTCATTCATTTTCCGAACCGCTTTATCCTCACTAGGGTTAGGGTTAGGGGGGTGCTGGAGCCCATCCCAGCTATCTCCGGGCAGTAGGCGGGTGACACCCTGAACTGGTTGCCAGCCAATCGCAGGGCACACAGAAACGAACAACCATTCACGCTCACACTCACACCTAGGGACAATTTGGAGTGTTCACTCAGCCTGCATGCATGTTTTTGGAACGTGGGAGGCAACCGGACTACCCGGAGAAAACCCACGCAGGCACGGGGAGAAGATGCAAACTCCATATATATATGGGACTTTCAGATACAGACTGACAAGATGGAACCAACCAGATATCGTGATCATAGATAAAGGGCAGAGGAAAGCCGTTGTAGTGGATGTAGCGGTCCCAAGTGACGGAAACATCAGAAAGAAGGAACACGAGAAACTAGTGAAATACCAAAGGCTCAGAGAGGAGCTGTAGAGGGCCTGGAACGTAAAGGTGACAGTAGTGCCTGTGGTGATCGGAGCACTCGGGGCAGTGACCCCCAAACTAGATGAGTGGTTGCAACAGATCCCAGGAACAACATCAGACATCTCAGTCCAGAAATGTGCAGTGCTGGGAACAGCAAGGATGCTGTGCAGAATCCCTCAAGCTTCCTGGCCTCTGGTAGAGGACCCAAGATGAATGGGGGACGGACACCACCCGAGGGGTGAGACGAGGATTTTTTTTTTTTTTTATATATATATGTAGACCTGATAATGCTATGAAAGAAAAAGAAATCTCACTTATTTGCATTTGTGTGCTCTCTAACAGCCAAACATGCTCCAAGAACTGGTGTCAAAGAAGTCCCGTAATTTCAAGACTATAAACCGCTACTTTTGTCACACACTTTCAACCCTGCGGCTTATTGAATGAAGCGGCCTGTTTCAAGATTTTTCCAACGGCTGCCAGGAAGCGCTCCATCAGAGAAGGTAACAGTGAGACGCTCTCATGTGTCACAATGAAAACAACCGGCCATGAGAGGGCGCACTTCACCTGTGTCTTGAGCTCATACTTTATTAATCGTAAAATGTTATACCTTTATTTTCACTCCATCCCTTCTGGCTCATTTGTTTTAAATTCATGAGATAGCTGGGATAGGCTCCAGCACACCAGCGACCTTGGTGAGGATTAAGCGGTTCAGATAAAAGAACAAAAGGACGGAACATTGGTACCATTGAGTACCGGCATCAATTCCTAGGTACCGAGATTTGGAACCGCACAAATGTGAAAGGTACCCATCCTTCGCGTGTGTGGTACAACCCAGAATTAAATGAGCGCAACGTATTTCTGCGGCACACCTGATGATCTCTCACGGCACAACATAACGGCATTTTCAGGCTCTTTGCTCACCTAGTGTTTGTTTCGGCCGAACCGGTGTGGAAACAGTGTGATAAAATATTAATCTGCTCTGAGCATATATAACATTTAAGGCAAAATAAGCAATTACATGATCTTTTTAGACTAATAATCCAATGTGTATCAATCATAACACAACAGTACTGACCAAACATCAGATAAAAATGTTGAAATGCTGTGAAAACAGATGACGTTGGGTTGCATTAATTACTGTATAAAAACAAGATTTAACAGGATTCTGAAAGGGTTACAGAGATAAGCCAACAAAGCAGATGAGCAATTTACATTTACTGTCAGAGGCGAGTGATTTGGGATAATTTAATTAGTACAGGGTGGAAACAGAACAGAGTGTGTTGAAAGTTTGGAACCCCGGGATCTTCATGATGAGATCTGAATCCAGAGTGATACACTCTTCATCCCTAAAATCCAAACGTTAATTGAAAATGACACATTTCAGTTTCTTTTTTTTTTTTCCTTGCAGGAAATTGTGTCAGTAACCATGGGCGTCATTAGGCCTATTTTAGGGAGGCTTCAGCCTCCCTAAAAATGTCTTTAGCCCCCCTAAATAATTTCATTGCATTATTTAAAAAAAAGTATTATTTATTTTTCCTGTACTTTTGCTAATATATTGCATCAAATTCAATGTAATGTGGCCATTTTAAATTATATTTCGATAACCTGCCATTTTTGTAATGTTAAATCTCCCAGGTTTCCTGAACGCAACAGGTGTTGCGTTAGCATTTGACGTGTCTGTCACCATCGCCACATCAAATGCGAACGCAACAACTGACAGTTCATTGCCGAAAGTCAGGTTGAGTCGACAGCATGGATATTCGACAGCTTTTTAGAAAGGTAAATTAAGTATTCAATGCATCCATGCTGGTAAAACTAGTGACTATAGTCCGCTAAAATATCTCCAGGAACAGCAGAAACTGCACTGTAACAAGTGTTCACTTTTGGATAAATTAAGGTGGTGCTTAATAAAAATTAAGCAACATTTTATGATTAAATACAAAAAACATCATTACACCAACTCTTTGAGGCAACACCTATTGAGATTTTGGCCTATATAAAATAAATAAATAAATATAAAATAAATAAATTTATTTATTTGATAGGAATCAGGCTAAAGACGCACAGAGAGTGAGCGGGGGGGGGCTCTGCTGGACAGGTGAGTCTATCACAGACATGGGCAAACTACGGCCCGCGGGCCGGATCCGGCCCGTTGGTCTTTTTCATCCGGCCCGCCGAAGGTTGGTACAGTACATAATTATGGTTCGATGTAAATTATTGCATTAATTTCATTTGGACTTGTAATACAGGCATTTAAACGCCAGGTGGCGCAGTTACTTGAAGTCGCAGAGCACAGGGAGGGAGGGGGAGACGATACGGAAGCCCGCAGTAGCACTAAATCAAGTAAGTCCCGCTCGATACGACGAAATAGATGTATCCGCACCGCTATTTTCTGTCATTGGATCCAAAACGGCGACATGCAAGCGACTCTTTGTTGGGGGGGCATGCCCCCGGACCCCCCTAAAGGGGCTGTGTTCCCCTTGGGGCTAAGCCCCCCTTGTTCTTGAAACCTAGTGACGCCCCTGTCAGTAACATACTGGGAATTCCCTCAGTGCTGTGGCGAATTATAAGATTCGATTTAGTCCAGTATAAGAAGCTAATGGTGGAACATTTATTTTGGTCAACCTTTTCTCGATTATTCCATTTTATGCTTAGGCATGAGCTAGTAAAGAAGATGTTGAGATTTTATAAGAGAGATTAGGACTCTTGGAAAGAAGTGTTTTCCCCTCAGAGCATGTACAGGCATAAAAATGCATCCCGATATGTGTAATATTCACACACATGAGAAGAATCCATTAAACAGATTCAGGCTGGTAGAATAGCGTTGACCTTTTTGAGTCTCTATTACATGTTTGATGAATTGGAGACAATGAGGGGAAACAAGGATTTTCAACCATTCTTCCTTTGTAAAGCTCACTTGAAATGATAACGCAAATGCTAATGTGAGCCTCCACAGGAAATGAAAACAGTCACATTAATTCAATTTGAGGAGTGTTGAAAATCAACAGAGAGGAAGATTATTTCGGTCTCCCAACAGTCATCACATTTCATTTCAGAATGTAGCGAGAGAAAAAAAAAATCCCTGATGATGCCTGCATAATTTTTGGTTTGACATGTTTGATCCGCTTTGAGAGCTCAGTCCCTCAGCAGACACGTGAAATGCATTTACTGTAGTCTACATGCATATTACACGAGCATTCAAAAGTACACAAGAAAAAGAAAACGGGGCCGAGTCTCTTGCTTAGCATGGAGTAGGATTGTTTTTCACTCCATCCACCTTTGAAAATTGCTACGCAATTACAACCATTTCACAGTCAGTGCAATTTCACGTTATAGAGCAAAAAACATATTTGATTTATCCCAACCATTTAGCACATTGTCAAAAAGCTATAACTAAACAGTGCAAGTGCGCATCTGTTATAAAGGGAATAGATTAAATGTTCTGATAAATACAAAGAGTAACAGGACAGGTCAATATTTTGAGGAAGTACAAAAAATATAGAATATTCTAAAATGTCTAGGATGATATTTTTGGATTTGCAAGTAGTTCACCAAGTGTCATATTTCCAAAGATGAAAAAGCTAACTTACCCATGGTGCAGTTGGTGGTGAAGTTGGGCTCAATCATGGCCGTGTCATCAAACGTTCCCTGGTCATAGCTTGCTGAGATCCGGAAAGGTGAGCCCCCGTGGGTGCCCAGGGTGAGGTGAGCCATGGCCCAGCTGCCAAGGAGAGAAAGCAGGAGCAGGATCATTGTGATGAGCAGGCACCATGGCTGACAGACATTCTCGTATCCTCTATGAGGCTTCGGGGTCAGGGCGGATCGGTTCTGCTCAGCCTGAACCCCGACGGCCCCTGGGGAGGGACTGTCTGAGACCTCAGTGAAAGAAGATGTGGGGGCTTCTTCGTCCCGTTCCATTTTGATTTGCTGACACCTTGCCACTCTTTGAGTCCATAAAGGAGCCTTTGAGATGACCAGCTGAAAGGTGACACCTGACTCGGAACTGTTCGCTGGTAACTGACTCGTGAAATTCCAAATATGGAGGAGGAGAAACTGTTGATTCTGGAGCATATGAGGCAGTCTTGCTTTGAATGCTGTCCTGCCACAGCCTTCAACTGTCCCTAATTTTGTAAAGCAAATTGTGCTGATTTCACTTGGGCTTTAACATCATAAAACAATCCCTCCTCTCTCTCTCCCGCTTTCTCCTCCCCCTGGCTTTTGATCCTCTGCTTCTTTTCACATATGCCATTAGTCAACCACTTTTATCCACATACTGTACACTGCTATGTAAAATAGTTAGTTAAAATGATGTATTTTCAACCCCGCAATAACTGTGTAACTTTTCTGCCACAAAACAGACCACCGCAAAGGCTGAACTGCTACAAAAAAACAAAAAACAATCATCGAGTTGGTTAGTTCTGTGTATCTGTCTTAACACATGCATTGAGTGTCATCCATCCATCCATCCATCCATTTTCTGATCCGCTTCATCCTCACAAGGGTCGCGGGGCCTGCTGGAGCCTATCCTAGCCGTCTTCGGGCGGTAGGCGGGGGACACCCTGAACCGGTTGCCAGCCAGTCGCAAGGCACACAGAGACGAACAACCATCCGCGCTCACGCTCACACCTACGGACAATTTAGAGTGTTCAATCAGCCTGCCATGCATGTTTTTGGAATGTGGGAGGAAACCGGAGTACCCGCAGAAAACCCATGCAGGCACGGGGAGAACATGCAAACTCTACAGAGCTGGAATCGAACCCACGAAACATTTAATTCTTAACAGGTATTATCTTTGTTACAGCTTCAGCTATTGTGAAAGCGCAACATAAATAAAGATGTATTGTTTGTATTTTCACGAGTCAAATGTGAGTGGATGTATTTGGTAGCAGAGTCTGTGTGAAAAGAGTAGACGGAACCCAAAACACATCCACACATAACTGCTGCTCCACAAACATCGGCGCTTTTATGATTTCCCAGACGTCTGTGCCCTGACGCAACAGGCTTTGCATCACAAGCGCTGCCGTCTTCTACTTCGGTTTTTCTTTTTTAAAGGTGTGATTTCTATTTTCAACTTGCCTCACTCCAATTTACTCATTTCACTCGGCCTTTCTTTGAGACGAGGGAAGGTGTTGACCAAATGAGAAGTGAAACTTCAGCCCCAGACGACATCATTAGAGGGCATCTGTCATGTCCTATCAAATGAGAGAAATTATATACCCGATAAGAGTCGCCACTGTGTCCTTTGCCACGTCAATATTATTATCGGACTCAGAAATCTACATGTTGTGATGATCCAAGCCCCAAAGGCTCAGTCAGCAGCAAAATGGTGATGAGCCCATAATTGCACAGGAATGTTTGTTTCCTTGTGCATAAAATATATGCAGGCAACGCATTACGGTACAACAACTCCTAAACCCCAGATAAGAGGCCAATAAACGCCAAAACTGAAACATGAAACAAATTAGCAAAATGTATCATTTGAAAGTAACAAACTGTGTGTGCCTGGAGTTAAATAAGCTTGATACACGCAACTTCATGTCATCTACCCTGAATTAACCCACCACACACACTAACTCAGGGGTGTCAAACTCATTTTAGTCGCGGGCCAGTTTGGAGTTACGTCTTCCCTCGGAGGGCCATTATGACAGTGAAACCACAAAATTATTACTTGTACAAAACAAATTCATCGATTACAATTTTTGAAATCAATCAAGTCTATTATAATAGTTTGTTCAATTATTGTTCAAGTGTAAACTGGGTGACAAAAGTATTGCAAAATCTCAATGTTATTCATTACACATGACAATTTCACAATTTCGGTACAGATTTGAGCAAGTTGACACACATGATATGCTTTCGTGGGCCGCATTAAATGACCTGGTGGGCCGGATCTGGCCCCCGGGCCTTGAGTTTGAAACTTGTGCACTAAATTGTTCCCCACCGTTAAAGACAGAAAACATGACAAAAACACAACAATAAGCACATTTGGCTTCAGTTTTTGATTTCATTTTACCCTGCGCAGACTGTAGCCACCGTGAGCCGGATGCAACAAAGCAACCCCACTTAAGATGAAGCTTTATCTACATTTCACACTTTGTACAGCATTCTTTTTGTTGTATACTTTACTTTTGTGTTGATAAACATAGAGCGGATGTGACTTTCCCAAAAACTCCACTTTTGCCTCGGCTGTCAAAAAGACAAATCCCCGAGAAATTGGCAAATCAATATACATTGGGGCACATTCCAGTTTCAAAGTATTTCAGTGGCCATGATAAACGTATCTTTTCCTAACGTTGTATACCAACAGTTTTGTTCATGTGTGTACCACCAAACACAAGTCTCTGTGACTGCTCAAGTATTTGTATCACGCTATATCTGCGCTGACAATCACTGGAATGATGAGATGAACAATTGTGAGTGGAGCTGCCATTGCACATCACTCAAAACATTTCAACTTAATTAGTGGTTGACCATGCATGGCACAGTGCCCGGAAATAAAAATGGAATACAAATGAGTGAGAAAGACCAAAGAGCGCCTGTGAGTCGGCAGCTCCTCGAAGTTTCTCCTTTATTTGTAGCCTTTCACCCTTTTTTTAATCATGTCGTGTCTTGTTTTGGACTGTTGTCATTGTTTTAGCCGTGACATTCCTCATGGGAGCATATCGTTTTGCCGCTTGTCGTTGTTGTGTGTGCCTGTGAATCAGCAGCCCAGTTACAAGAGCTTCGTTGTCTTTATTTGTAATTCTTGGTCTTTTACGTAATTACAGTGTTTTAGTCGTGATATCTTCATGGTGGATAATATTGTCACGATTGGACTATGCATACATTTGTGTATGATGCCAAAACCGTGAAATTTGGTTGCTGTCATAATGCATATGACACTTTTTTTTAAACTATACGACCACAACAGAGCTTCAGTGATGGCAAAAAAAACCCTAAAAAAACTAAAAATGAAATGACAATCAAAGAACCGTAAATGGTTCGATTGAAAAGTAATTCGTCTGACTTCATCTTTCTTAGTTTTAACGATTGCTTATGAAAGTAATTTTCTGTTCTTAGTTAGGGGCGGCCCGGTGGGCCAGTGGTTAGCGCATCGACCTCACAGTGAAGAGGTACCAGGTTCAATTCCAGCTCCGGCCTCCAAGTGTGGAGTTTGCATGTTCTCCCCGCGTGGGTTTTCTCCGGGTACTCCGGTTTCCTCCCACATTCTAAAAACATGCATGGCAGGCTGATTGAACATTCTAAATTGTCCCTAGGTGTGAGGGTGAGCGTGGATGGTTGTTTGTCTCTGTGTGCCAGCCATACCTGCGATTGGCTGGCAACCGGTTCAGGGTGTCCCCCACCTACTGCCCAAAGGCGGCTGGGATAGGTTCCAGCACCCCCCGTGACCCTTGTGAGGATAAGCGGATCGGAAAATGGATGGATGGATGGATGGATGGATGTGTAGTTTAGATTCTGGGGTTTTTTTTGTTGGTGTTTTTCTTGTTCTTTGTCTTTCTAAGCATCTGTAGTTGAGATTATTTCCCATTTGTTGTAGTTATAGCCTCATTACTTTTGTAGTGTAGATTTTGTTCTTATTTAGTTCATAGCGACACCAATCTCCTTTTGTAGCGTCGTTTATTATATCAAATTTAAATTTTTTCAAATGGATGACTATGGCTATTTATTGTAGTTTGATGTTTGTCCGGTGTGGTTGTTGCTTCCTGCCATGTGCTCCTTTGGTTCATTTAAGTCTCACTGAATGGTTCTTGTTTAGTTGTCTGCTTTGGCGTTCAATATCCACCGTATGCGCACTATAACAGAATAATCCGGCCACAACATGGGCCTTGTGGTAACTGAGCAGATACACATGGCTTTTCCAAGCCAAAGAGAAACTTGTTGGGTCTGCATGAGCAGTCATTCATCTGTTGGCAGATTGAGTGACAGAGAAACTTCATTGAGGTAGACATGACATTTTCACAAAAAGAAATGGGATTTTAGTCGGGTTTATAAAACATGAAGCTTTTTCCCATTACTCTTTTGACAGGGTAGCTCTCGTGTTTGCAACAACAGCAAATCTTACACGCAACAGCCCGAACGTCATTGAGGGCAAAGGTTTGCATTTGTGTGCGCGCACGTAGCAAATTACGTTTTTGTTTTATTGTAATTTTTTTGTCAGGGTTCGTTAAATATTGCAAAAATTTGCAAACAGTTGCAAAGACGTTTGCCAGACCTACCCAAAGAGTTTATGGTCGACATCACATTTTGAATATGTTCAAAATGTCTTTGAGACAAGAAAAACTTTTTGAGGCGATTAAAATTGTTGCCGACAAAATCCCCAATCCCCGACAAAAAAAACTAAAACAAAAACTAAAACAAAAACAACTTTTCTTCATGTGCACACACTTTCAACCCTTCGTTACTAAGTCAAATACAACCTTTAGTGCTTCTAATCAAGGAATGATTTTTTTAAAATTTATTTTTGAGGCCATCTGAGTACAAGTGACTTGTGGAACTCATCTGCAGTTAACCCAAAGGAAGGGAGGATAGAAATAGAAACCGCTTTACAGGGTAAAGTTTCTTGACTCACGGCAAGAGCTCTCTATATATTTTAACCAACAAGATTAAATCGCAGTTCATTTTATAATCAGCAAATGATTAAAAAAAAAAAATGACTGGAAATAATGGCGCATTGATATTGTCACATTGCGAGGTGGTGGTGGACCCCAAAAAGCAGGCACGAGGGAGGAGCAGGGTGTACTTGACAAAATGGATTAAAATACTAAGGAAACGAAATCCAGAACACACAAAGTCTGGAAAACAAAACGAATCCAAAGTAGCAAACAAAACCATGGCATAGCAAAAATCAAAATGATAAACACAAGCCAACAGAAACTGTGACAGCAACTAACACGACAGAAGCAAACAAGCGCGCAAAC